CCACGAGCTCTTGCAGGCTCTCCCCTTTAGCACGGACTCTCGTCCTGAACCTGGCCCTGTAGACTTCTGACTGGTTTTGGGTTCCATACCTGAGTTCTAGAGCAGCTACCGGTGCTCTATAGTTGTGCCTGTCGTCTGCTGACAACTGGCCAAGTATATCCAGTGGTTGTCCCTTCAAGCTCTTTGCCAGATATACTGCTTTCTGCTCCTCTGTTCATCCATTCATCTCTACCAGGAGCTCAAATTGTGCTCTATTTGCTTCCCATGGTGCTTTCCCATCGAATTCCTGTTGCTTCCTTTGTACTAGATCACCCATATTGTTGACATTCATATCTGGGATGTGACTTCTAACAGGACTGAAGATGTCTGCATTAGGGTTTAGCTGCGGGGTCTGGAAGGGGCTTGCCATTGTCTGGGGCTGATTAAGTTGATGGTTAATGTATCCTCCTTGTGTAAAAGACAATAAATTATCCTTTAATGTATCTAATTCGTTTTTAAATTTACTAATGTTTTCCATTTGTACTTCTCGCCAGTGTTGTTGACTTTCCTCTAGTTGCTGCTGACTTTCCTGCAACTGTTGGAGACTTTCTTCCTGTTTCCTTTCTTGTTTCAGTTGCCACTGCTGTAATCTCTCTTCTTGTTTCTTTTCTCGTACTTCTTGTTTCTTTTCTTGTTCTTCTTGTTTCTTTCTTTTCCCTCCAACAACTGCTGTAATTTCTCTTCTTGTTTATTTTCTTTCTCCTCCAACCACTCTTGTAGTCTCTCTTGTTTCTTTTCTCGTTCTTCTTGTTTCTTTTCTTTTTCCTCCAACAACTGCTGTAATCTTTCTTCTTGTTTATTTTGCTGTTCAAGCTGCCATTGTTGCAGGTTTTCTTGCAACTGCTGTTGTCTCTCTTCTTGGTTCTTTTCTTGTTTATTTTCTCGTTCTTCTTGTTTCTTTTCTTTTTCCTCCAACAACTGCTGTAATCTCTCTTTTTGGTTCTTTTCTCGTTCTTCTTGGTTCTTTTCTTTTTCCTCTAACAACTGCTGTAATTTCTCTTCTTGTTTCTCTTCTTTTTCCTCCAACAACCACTGTAATCTCTCTTCTTGTTTCTTTTCTTTTTCCTCCAACCACTGCGGTAATTTCTCTTCTTGTTTATTTTCTTTTTCCTCCAACCACTGCTGTAATTTCTTTTCGCGTTCTTCTTGTTTCTTTTGCTGCTCTTGTATTGCTGCCATCAAGGCTGCTAAGCTGTAGTTTGATTTGCCGCTTCTCGTTTCCATTGTTTTTGTCTCACTCTCTGACACCAATCTGTTACCCCTCTGTAATTTTTCGTAAAAATTATTTACGAATAAACTTTAGCGATACAAGTCCTTTCTTAAACAAAACTGGTTTATTCTCTCTGAATACAAGTTTGCAATACACTTAATTTCCACAGTGCGCTATAACAAAAGCTATAATTCACAACGAACGTCTCAAGCGCTCGACTCAACAATACGTTTCTCTCTGTCCGCAGTTGAATTACCCCTTCTTGCCGTCAGTTCTTGGCGGCTTATATACAAGACTACCGCATATCTAGTAGCCTATCGAGGTTTCATGAACGTTCTAGAAGTGCATAACGTGTTACTAGAGTCACGTGACCTCCGCTGTCGTAACAGTACATTAGTAAATATTAACGACGTTAACTAAAGATTTACTTGCAAATTAAAAGGTCTACAAACCTCATCTTACTATAATGGACGTAGCATGTATATATGTATTTATCTATGTATGTGACCGAAATAATAAATACAATGTGGTGCCGTCTAATGGGGGGCACCACAAAATCAAAATTCATAAAAAAAATTCACACTTTGGGTATTCAAGATTCAGACAATTAGAAAAATATCTATATTGAAGTAATTTATAAATATAGCACCAAAAAAATGGAGTTCTTAAAAAGTTTTTTTCAATAAAGGGTAGCGCTTTTGATATATGTTTTAAAAACATTCACTAAATATTTACTGTTATAAAATTCTACATACCTCATTGTTGAGAAATACAAGTACGATTTTCACATTAGCATGCACTTTAAATATAGATTAAACCAGGATTATAGCGAGAAAAAATCTCTGCTGTTTCACAATTCTTGTATACTTATGCCGAGTTTCTAATCTCGGTAATCACATACTTTCGACAAATTCTTGATCCCTGCTCTAACACTACTCACATGCTCTACTCTACTTGAACACAATACTCACAATACTTTTAATATTCTGATTTGTGTATTACCCTAAAATACGCTTTTAAACCAAGAAGTACTCTCAACAAAATTCAAAACTGAGCAACATATGAAAATAACATAGATAATACTATTCTTGAAACGATTGCAATATTCTTCGAAATCAGATGAAGAATATTATCAAGAAAAATAACAACTTAGGCAGACAATAAGGATTTATTTCAGTAAAACATGTAAGTTATTACCTTAAAATGTTCAGAAGTTCTCGCTCAGAATCGTTGGAAGTTATAGTAGGAATGAGGGCAAGGTGGGACACCTGTGTACAAGCCCAGCCGAATTGAAAAATCACAACGAGGGGGGCAAGAAACACGAAGATTGCCCATTCGCTGGCATTTTCGCATCCAGGACACTTGGTGAATATAAACGGGAAACTTAGGATGACACAGAGAGTTCCTAAGAGAAAAAAAAATAAGTAGTAGAAAAACAGACTGCAAAGAACAACAACAACTTTACTGAGAATGGTCACTTCATATATATCGCGGGAATTGTTACTGTGACCATTGATGTGCTCATTGAGGAAACGGTAGAAACAGTACGCTTATCTTACACCAGTCCTGTCATTTTCTAGCTTCTCTATGTCAATTAGGTCTCTAGAATTACTATTCGAAAAAAAAATCTTAACTATCACTTTGATTCCATTCCCAGAGGTAGCTTTTTAAATATAAACAGATGATATAAAAAAGTAAAATGTAAGAGCTCTATACCGTAGCCAAAAATGTTCCTTATATAAAACTATATCTACTTAAACAAGTAATATATTTATAGATAAACTAATGCGCGATGAAATCACAAACAATTTGTTAAAATCAGTGAAATAGAAAAGAATTACGTTGTCTAAGTTTTGTTCAATAGGCGTTCACCATTCCAATCTTTACTTCTTGCATAGATTTTAATAATATTGTCAGACCCGTATGCATAATGTTTTAAAGAGGTTTTTCTAATTTGTGAGATCAAAAGCCAACACATGTTTTGCGAAGCACAATAAGCATGCTAATACTACGGGTGTCTGGGGATATGCCCCCAGAACATTTGTAAAAGAATACGTGCTATGAGATTAAATTTGGAAGCACTTTTGCATGAAATATAGCTTAAACAATTGCATGGCTATTCACATAAAATCCACAAACAGCTAATGAAAAGTCAACAAATCATCATTCTACAAAACCTGACAGTAGCAATATAGCTTCAGCCTTCCAATTACAAAATGTCAACAGAAGCCATTGCATGCGACTATTTCACGCCAAAAAATGCTGATGCTTCATCGGACGAATGTAGACTATGTACAAAACGTTAATTATAATAAGCAGCTACGCTATAAACATATAAGCATAATTTTTTATATCACAAATATAGGGGGTTCGGGCGACCTCTCCCCCCCCCCCCTTGAGTACGTACATGATTGTATATCTTGGCATTGTTGGGTTGTACCTGGTTTTTTATTTTTCTACATTACAGAAATCTATCTCGCAATAACGAGGAAAGCCTTCGATTACATAAATCCATGTTTGTTTCTATTGAAGACAGTTAATTCTATTGTTACGTTAATGAAAGATATCAAATAAGGTTGAAGAAATACTTTCATTACAGAATACGGTTCATCTTTTGTTGTATTAATGGAAAGCTATGTAGGAGATTAGAAAAAAAGCTTTTCATTACTGAAATATGATTGTCTTCCATAGATAGCTGAATGTACCTTTCATACTTCAGATTAAGATACTAGATTCAGAAACATAGCTAGCTTAATATACCGTTCATGCTTAAGAATAAAATATTAGATTAAGAAGCGTAGCCAACTAAATATATTCTATATACCCAAGATTAAAATACTAGGTTAAGAAGCGTAGCCAACTAAATATATTCTATATACCCAAGATTAAAATACTAGGTTAAGAAGCAAAGCCAGCTAATGTCCTCTACATAGCCAAAATTAAAATACTGGGTTAAGAAGCATAGCTGTCTTAATATACCATTCAATGCTTAAGAATAGAATATTACGTTAAGAATCGTAGCCAGTTTAATATCTCCTGCGTAATTAATATTATAATGATAAGTTATAAAGCATAGCTAGCTAAATATCCTCTACATAATTAAGATTAAAAATATTAAGTTAAGAAGTATAGCTAAATTAAAATACATCGTTCATACTTACTATTAAAATACTCGTTAAGAAACGTAGTTAGCTTAATATATCCTTCAAAATTAAGGTTAAAATACTAGGTTACAAAGCGTAGTTACCTTAATGTCCCCAACATAGTTAACATTAAAATACTTCGATAAGAAGAGTAACCAGCATAGTTACGAATAACATACTAGGTTAAGAAGCACAGCTCGCTATCAACTATTTCTTTTCATCCCGTAACACACAAACACACACATGCGTTCATACACACTCTCAACAATGTAATTTTCTCAAATTTTGGTACCATAACACATATAGTTGAAAATAATAATTAATACAAGTAATTACGTTAATTGTTAATAGGCGATTAAAACCAGCACTATAAAACAATAGTGAACTTAATATAAAATAAGCATTAAATAGATTTTGGTAGAGTTTCCATTGTCAGTCCTAGTTGTAACCTGAAAGTCATAGCAGATAATGCCTGTGGTAATAGCTCCCTAAATTTCTACTGTATGAAACTCCCAACCTCTACCCTTACAAAATAAATTAAATAAAACTAACTGATCTTAAATAGAACTACAAATCCTACCTTAATAGTTCTTACGTAGTTCATATATTCCCATTATTCAAGTATAACACGGGAAAGCCGAGACAAACCCAGCTACTTAAAGTTAGTCTTTCCGTCCCGGTATACTGAATAATATTATAATTTCAAATTTAGCTACTTATACGCACATATATAAGATCAAATGTATCAAACTGTTGAAACAATGAATTCCAATCTTTATAAGTAGAAATGTAAGAAAAAATATATTTAATTAGCTATACTGATAACCAGGTTGATTTTTAGTTTCGGTTTAAGTGTATAGTTTACTCTAATCTGAAGTTATTATTAGTTAGGTTTCCCAGTTTTGGTTAGGTTAGGTCCTTCATAAGGCTGAATTAACATGTATTCGGTATCGTTCTCAGTGGTGTAGAAAGGAGTTGCAAAGTGGGAGTTCTTGGCTAGACATGAAGGTTTTACAATGAGAGATTGAAAGTATAAGAGGCTGCCCCCCAGAAAAATTAATGTAACAATAAATTTTACAGTTGCTATATAAGTCAAATATATAAAAGTGGGGATGCTACATCACCTCTGGTTCCGACACCTCTGTTTTTTATGAAAAGATTTATTTAAATAAAGTAATTTGCCTCAACTCACCAAGTAAGTGAAGTGTCTTGCGTCTACCATACTTCCGGTATATGTAACCTTCTACAGAAGTGTCGGACTCGTATCCAACAAGGATCGTAGACAAGGCATCAGATACTTGACCCACCAAAAGTAACAAACCGGCCAGGCTAGTGTTAAAGCACAAAACGAACTGTAAGTAGACGATCAGATAAGTAAACCACAGAGATGCAGTGATGTCATTCAGTACGTGGCCTACTCCATAACTCAGCTTCTGAGACCAGGGTAACTTAGGGATATCCTCCATTGCTGATAAAAAAAATTGAACAAGATTACAGTGAATAGCAAAGCAATAAGGGTTTTTATTTCTAACAAAAGTGATTAAAATCACGCAAACGTCTTTCATCTGCGTTTTGGCAAATGGATCGCCCTTAAAGCATTTCAGATATTCTTTATTTAGTAGATTTACACTGCTTTTTTTTTCAAACCAAGTTACATCTGCTTGGTTCCAATGTGTTTCGTACAGTACATTCTTGTAAGAAAAGTTGCTATACATGTTCTGTTATAATAAAGCACATTGGAACCTAGCGGGTGTAACTTGGATTAAAAAGAACTGTTATAAATTTCTAAATAAACAACATTAGAACATAGCAGGTGCATCTTGTATTAAGAATAAATGTTATAAAATCTCTATGTGAAGAACATTCAACCTTCAAAAATTCAATCTACCAGGTTAAATGTTCTTTACTTAGATATTTTACAACTCATTCGTAATACATGTTGTACCTCCAAAGTACTAATGTTGTTTATTTAGAGATTTATAACAGTTCTTTTTAATCCAAGTTACACCTGCTAGGTTCCAATATGTTTTATAACAGAAAATTTATAATAGTTCTTCTTACAAGCGTTTTCAACTATAAGGTTCTAATATTCTTTATTTAGACATTTATAACAGTTCTTCTTAGCCCAAATTACATCCGCTAGGTTCCAATGTGCTTTATTTATAGCAGTTTTTCTTCCAAGAAGTTTTCAGCTAAAAGGCTTTAATGTTAGTTATTTAGAGATTTATAACAGTTGTTCTGGGTCCAAATTCCACCCGCAAGGTTCCAAGGTGTTTTATAATGCTAGTATTTATAATAGTTTTTACTGCAAGAAATTCCGCTTACACGGGTTTCAATATATTTTACGGAAAATTTATGATTTAAAAAGTGGACTTGTGTCTTTCAACTATTTACAGCTTAGAGAATAAACTCGTTACTATTTGACAAAGTGGGTAGAAATTTAAATTTACACCTGAGATCATAGAGCAATGTGTTTCACGCCTAGGATTACCAGATTTCCAAAGTGAAAAACTGGTACATTTCTTCCCCTCACCCTACGGAATGACACTAACTGTTTAACAGCCCTGAAACAGTAACTCGCTTTTTAATATTTGCCAAATCACCTCTGTTGCATCGCGTTTTAAACCCATAGACAAACAAAATCAAAAAGTAATAAATAAAACGAAAAACGTTTTGAACCTACTCAGAAGAAAAATAATGCTTCGTTTTCTTTTTGGTTGCTTCAAATCTCAATTCTTGCGGCTGCCCACTGACAGATTAGGTTAAGAAAACGTAATAGAACGAAAGAGAACACTGTACCATGTGAAATGTTTTTGTCAGGAGGTTCTCCGAGAAATTGAAAAGAGGTGTGTATAATGACAAATTGTGTATATCAAACTCACTTTGATTTGGAGGTACAGAGAATTAAGACTTTTACTGTGTCTGATCGGGACTGAAGAAATATAGCTAAAACTGGGACATCTGGTAACCCTATTTATGTCTTGCACTTACCTAATAAATAACACTTCTTCTTTTTCCAGGAAACGAGTGTTCATGCAGTATCATAGTTTGAGAAGCACCGAATGTAGTGTCTCGTTCAGAAACCTTACTACGTTCTACAGTCACCTTAGACAGTTAGACTGTCACGTGCTCCAGCGCCAGGTAGAGGTGCTTCCAGAAACCGGTTTGACCACAGTTTCCTTGGTTTCACGTGATTCCAAGCGAAATGTGTATGTTCACATCCAAAATATCTTTACGAGTCTCGAGATCTCAACTTTGAAATAGGAATTTCACCAGTAATGAAAGAATAGTAATAAAAGGTCATAATCATTGAAAGAACAAATAGTATCAATTTTTGTAATGATATCATAAGTACGCAAGAAATATCATAATTGTTAGAGATGTAAACAACATGAGTTTCACTCAGTCACACATAGAAGCAGTCTTTATTCCAAGAACTAACGTTTCTAATATAATTACTTGATTATTTAACATTTAATGTGATACAGTTATTTCATAAGCGTGACAAATAAAAGTTAAAACTTAATTGAAATAAAAGGTTCACAAAACAGACAAAATATAAAGCACACAATCATAACAATAGAACAGAGTTTTAATTGGATTATTCTTACAAAAACCGGAGAAGACGGTTTGTTATAATTAACTTATTTAATTATATTCACAGCAATCTGAGTAGTATTTTTTGTTTTTTTTAATTAGCTTATATTCACAACAATTGGATGGACAGTTCTCTACTTGGCTTACTCACAACAATCAGTATCAATGTGCTACCAAATTCCATCCCTTTGGCAGTAATGCGCATGCGCGTGACGTAAGCGAGACAATCACGCAGTGAGAGAGTGAATTCTACTTTTGTTTTGTTATAATTTTGTTTATCGTTAATTTCTTATTCCTGCTGTCGTTTAGTTCAACTATGAATTTTTAGTTACATTAAAGCGTTAACTCACCTTCTATCTAGAGCACATTGATTTTGTATCTGTATATGTATTATGAAACTGACCCCAGCTTCCCCTAGCACTGACTTACAGATATTATGTTGTGAAAGGTTATGTAGTTTAACATTTATGGTAAAAGCTAGTCACATAAGTGCCACAGATAGCCCATTGTGTAGCTTTGTGCTTAACTTCAAACAAACAAACCAAATAAATAATCACGAGATATGATTAGAAAGAATTATTGCTCAATATTGTCCTTGATATTGAAAAGTGGTTAAATTTGGAAAGAATGTGTTATTCTCTGGTGATCTGGGTTTTTCTTTTTCTGGTTCTTTTTCCTAATTCCTTTAATATTTATTGAAGTTAATCACATTGAGATTTATGTTATATTGTTTGTTTATTAACGTTTGTACCTAGTCCTGGCTAAGCACATGTTTATTAATTGTTTTTTGCTTTGTTTTTAAGTGATAAATTTGTATTCTAGTTCTTTAAAAGCTATATTTTGGATTCCTGTTGTTATATTTAATAAATTATTTTTGTTTGATCCTGGTTACCGGGGCGTTTTGTTGATTTGGTCCATTACAGTCCGATTTTTTTCCTTCTATTCTAGCCATACCCTTCTCGTGAACACGTTCGTTAATTATGAGTAGGACATTAATAAAAATTACTGGTATAATTATAGACGTAGTGTAATACTAATAGTGAAAAGTAAAACATTTGAATGAACTTTTAAGTGATTACTAAATTCTACAGAATTAATGAATCATATATTGTGATTAAAAACATAGTAAATAGGATGAAACGTGTAAGTTAGCATGACACTATTACCAACATTCGTGTTTTAATTATACATTTCAGATGAAGATGGTGCACTGACTGTAAAGAAAGCACAGCTGCTCTTGCCCCCAGTCTTTGTTACCCCATCTGCTAATATGACACCCTACCAGCAGACGTCATCCTCAGCCTACCAGGAGACTGTGCAAACCCCACCGGCAGGCTTCGATTTCAACTCACCAACAGTCACAGTCCACACTTCAGCAACCACTGGCTGCAAAAGCACAATAGAGTAAGCATTCACTATTGTTTGTATTAATTTCATAAGAAGTAATTTACGATTAAAATTTGTATTTCTGCCACTTTTGTGTAGTTTTAGCACTTTCAAATTATCAAAGAGGCATTTTCATGAATAGATATTCAGATAAGTGTTCTGATGAAGTTAGACCACATCCTGGCCAATCAACGGCAATAGACAGTTGGAAGAGTTTGACAAGAAGTTCAGAAAAAAATGGTAAGCTATTTAGTTAATGGTTTAGAGATACATAGTTGCATAATAGTCCATTTTCTACATTAATTTTCCTTGTTTGTCTTTACGTGTTAACTTCATGGGCTCCCAGAGTGGCCAAACTTGTGTGGAAACAGTCCAATGGATTATGCCAAAGATAGGTACCTACAGGTTGTGGTCTGCTTGCAACCTAAGGGGCAGAAGGTGCAATGAAAACAAAAAGAGGCATTCATAAATCTTCTACTTTTCAATTGCATTAAGAGTATGTGTTGAAATTTAATCGTTGTTAATACATAATATGTTAATTGTAGTTTTAACACAGCAAACATTAATATGTAAACACACTGCGATGATTTAAAAAGACTAATGTATGAGAAATATTAGGTCGTTAAGAAATTAATGTCGGTTTTTTTAGGTGAAAAAAACCCGAACAACTTGTATATCAAAACAAAACATTTATTAAATAAAATAGTCTCCATTCTTATCGATGATACTTTTCCATCTTACAATCAGGTTGTTAATGCCCTGATTAAAGAAATCACTTGGCTTTGAAGCAAAAAAAAAAAAAAAAATGTCGATGTCCTCTTTAACACCTTCCACATTTGCATACGTTTTCACATTAAGATGGTGTTGCAGTGAACGAAAAAAATGGTAATCTGATGGTGCCATATCTGGAGAATATAGTGGGTGGGGGAGAACTTCCCAACCCAACTCCATAATCTTGTGTTGCGTCAAACGTGCCACATGTGGACGTGCATTGTTGTGGAGAAGAACACCTTTCCGATTGATGAGTGAAGGGCGTTTCTGATGAAGGGCTTAATTTAAACTTTCCAGTTGCTCACTATAGATCTCTGCATTGACAGTTCGCTGTGTATTGAGGAGTACGAAGTGAATTACTCCTTTGATGTCCCACCAAATGCAAAGCATCATTTTCTGCGAATGGAGTCCAGGTGTTTGGGTCGGAAGTGGTTTTGTCCAAGAACTTAGCAAATGTTTTTGGTGTTTAATATTTGCATAGAGAATCCATTTTCATCAATTATGACAAAAATGGTTCACGCGCATTACGCGCCAGAAGAAACAAAGCAACGTTCACACGTTGGAAACGATAATCATCGGAGAGTTCGTGAGGCACCCAAACACCTTCTTTATGGAGTTTTCACATATTCCTTAGATGTTTATGTACTGTTTCATGAGAGACATGCAATTTCAGGGCCATTTCACGAGTGTGATAGACTCAACAAGCGTCTTCAGAGCATCAATATCAATTCTAAAATGTCGGCCCCTGCCATCACGGTTTTTAAGGCTGAACGAAATTTGCTGAACCATCGTTGACACTTATGAACGTTCAAAACATTTCCACAAACTTCTTTGATATTCTTTGTGGCTACAGAGGCGTTGTTTCCCTTTTTGTATCCAAATAGCATTACATGTCGAATGTGTGTCTCGTCGTGTG